TTAAACTTATCAAATTTTTCCTCTACAAGTTATACTTTTTGTGTCTTAATTAAGAAATCTTTCTCTACCCTACCATCAAGAAATATTCTCCTCCTACATCATGCTTTCTAAAAGTTTCATACTCTTTTTTTTTTAAGTCCTTTTTTTTTTCTGGCTGCATTGGGTCTTCGTTGCTGCGCGCGGGCTTTCTCTAGTTGTGGCGAGTGGGGGCTACTCTTCGCTGTGGTGCGTGGGCTTCTCTTGTTACGAAGCATGGGCTCTAGGTGTGCGGGCTTCAGTAGTTGTGGCACAAAAGCTCAGTAGTTGTGGCTCTCGGGCTTCGCTGCTCTGCGGCATGTGGGATCTTCTTGGACCAGGGATCGAACCTGTGTCCCCTGCACTGGCAGGTGGATTCCTAACCACTGTGCCACCACGGAAGTCCTATTTTAAGGACTTAATTCACCTTGAAAATGATTATGAATGGTATGAGGTAAGTATTCATTTCTTTTTAATATGACTCAACAATTGTGTCAGCACTGTTTATTGAAGTTTATCTTTTCCATGCAGATCTGAAATGCCACATCTGTCAAAATCAAGTTTCCATCTATGTACAAGTATTTTCTAAACTCTATTCTGTTACATTGGTCTATTTATCTATCCTGGTGCCAATACAACAATGTCCTAATTATTATATCTTCATTAAGTCATAGTATCTGGTAGGGCGCATACTCTGATTTTGGTATCAATTTTATGCTCTCTTCTTCATAAAATGAATGTTCCCTCTTTTTCTATTTTCTGAAAAAGCCTGGAAAAGATTTAAATAATTTGTGCCTTGAATGTTTGGAAGAAGTGGTGTGTTAGACTATTGTTTTCTTTACAAATAGATTTTTAACTACTTACTCAACTTCTTTTCATGGTTATAGTACTATTCAGTCTTTCTATTTCTTCATGAGTCAGTTTTGGTAAGACACGTTTTCTAGAAATGTGTCTGCTTTGCCAAAGTTTTCAAAATTATTGTCATAAAATTGTGCAAAATATCCTTACTATATTTTTTATCCTCTTTTCCACACCTAATATTGGTTATTTGTGCATTTTTTTTGACCAGTCATGCCACTGATTGTTTCATTAATGTCTACTCTTATTTTTGTTCTTTCCTTCTTCGTTTCTTTTTTCTGTTCTTTCCTAATTTCTTAAGTTGTATGCTTAGCTCATTAATTTTCAGCTTTTCTTTTGTTTTAATAGGAGCATGTAAAGTTATGTACTTACATAAACTTAAAATTATCCAAGTAGCACCCTACAAGTATTGATATGTAATATATTTTTCATTCATTTCTAACTATTTTCCAATTTCCAGTATGATCTCTTTTTTTACCTATTGTTATTTTAAAGTTTGCTTTCTCTTTTAATTTCTAAATGAATTAGTTTTCAGGTCATTGTGTTACTGGTTTCCAACTTAATTACACTGGGATTAGAGAAGGTAACCTATTTAAAACACAGCCTTTGAAATTCATTGAAAATTACTTTATGGTTAAGATGTGGTCAGTTTTTATAAATATTCTATGTGTTCTTTAAGAGGATGTGAATTCTCCAGTTGTTAGATGTAATCATTTACGTTTCTTTTTTTTTTTTAAACCTTCAGTGGATTCCTGCTTCCCAAACTATAGTATTTAAGATCCTTCATAGTCCGCTTATAAACTACCTTTTTATTTATTTATTTATTTGGCTGTGCCAGGTCTTAGTTGTGGCATGTGGGATCTAGTTCCCCGACCAGGGATCGAACCCAGGCCCCCCGCACTGGGAGCGCAGAGTCCCAGCCACTGGACCACCAGGGAAGTCCCCATTTACGTTTCTTATATCAAGCTTATTAATTGTATTATTTGTTTTCTTCTATCTGATATATCAATTAGTGATAAAATTATGTTAAAATCTCTCCCTAAAATCACAGATATATCTATCTTTATGGTATTGATCAACTTTTGCTTTCTATATTTGGAAGGAAAATAAGCAAACTTAGAATTATAATACCTTCCTAATGAAATGAACTTTTTATCATTAAACAAGAACCCTCTTAGACACAAATAATGTTCTTTGCCAGCTATTAATGAAACTGCACTAGTATCTAGGTGGACGGGACAAAGATGAGTCTTATATTTGCTGGAACACCTTTCTCCATCCTTTCACTTTCAAACACTCTGTGTCCTTGTGTCCTTCCGTTTTAAGTATATCTTGCTAGGAAGCACCCCTGTGGATGCTGTTTTATTTCTTTGTTTATTTTCCTTTTTTTCTGTTTTACTTTTATCCAGTCTGACAATCCTTTTCTAGGGTTGGGGGGTGGATTGGGTCCATTCACACTGATTGTGACTACTGATATATTTGCATTTATTTCTGCCATTTCTTTGGTGCTTCCTCTTTGTCCTACCTTTTCCATGTTTCATCCTTACTCTTTAATGAAATTTCTAACAAATGAAGCCCACCCTTTTTTTTAAATGTATTTTATTGAAGTACAGTTGATTTATAATGTTGTGTTAATTCCTGCTGTACAGCAAATTGATTCAGTTATACATACGTATACACTCTTTTTCATACTCTTTTCCATTATGGTTTATCACAGGATACTGAATATAGTTAGGACCTTGTTGTTTATCCATTCTATATATAATAGTTTGCATCTGCTAATCCCAAACTCCCAATCCATCCCTCCCCCACCTCTCTCCCCCTTGGCAACCACAAGTCTGTTCTCTATGTCTGTGAGTCTGTTTCTGTTTCATAGATAAGTTCGTTCGTGTCATATTTTAGATTCCACATATAAGTGACAGCATATGGTATTTGTCTTTCTGACCTACTTCACTTAGTATGATAATCTCTAGGTCCATCCATGTTGCTGTAAATGATATTATTTCATTTTTTATGGCTGAGTAGTATTCCACAGTATATATGTGTCACATCTTCTTTATCCATTCATCTGTCGATGGACATTTAGGTTGCTTCCATGTTTTGGCTATTGTGAATAGTGAGAAGCCCACCATGTTTTAAAAGGAGGAAAAGAAAAAGAATAATACTATCTCATCAACCCTACTTTACAGAAAATGATAAATTAGGATTCAATGGTGAAAAGCCTTTCTAAGGTCAGAAAGCCAACAAATGAGAAAGCCCAGGACCTAATCCATCATCCAGCACTCTTCCACTCCACGACAGCTGACCCTTTCCCACAGCAGCAGTAGTGAGACGGGCTGAATTTCACATACTCCTCAAAATAGTTCACCTTCCCCCCCCCCCGCCACAGAGATAGAAAACACAAGTATTAAGCTATTTATTTTACAGATGGGAAAACTAAGACCTAGGGGCAGTAAGTCATTTACCTAGGGGCAGAGAAACTTTGTGTTAGAAACAAAAATGTTAAATTTCTAGAAACACTGATGTCTTAGCAAATACCAAACAAATTTGTGGAAGAAAAGAAACACATTAATGAAGGCTGAGGTGGATATGTTCATAACTAGTTTAGGAATACAAAAAACAGTGGATTACTTATTATTAGGTTTGCTCAGAAGGTTATATAAAATTGAATGAAGGTGATCAAAAGGTACAAACTTCCAGTTATAAGAAAAATAAGTACTAAGAATATAATGTACAACATGATGACTATGGTTAACACTGCTCTATGGTATATTTGAAAGCCGCTAAGAGAACAGAATAGATCCTAAAAGTTCTCATGACAAGGAAAACACATTCTTTTCTTTTTTGTCATTTTTTCTTTGTATCTATATTAGACAATGGATATTAACTAAGCTTATTGTGGTAATCATTTCACAATATGTGTATGTTAAGTCATTATGCTGTATACCTTACTTATACAGTGCCATATGTCAATTACATCTCAATAAAACTGAAAAAAGGTTGTATGAAATTTTAAAATATATTCAGATCTGACAGCATCTAAAATTTTTTATTTTTTGCTACTTTAGAAGATGGAAACTACTTGAGTACAAAAAGGTAATCATTGTCATATTTAAAACAAAGAAAGTTGGTGTGCTACTGGGATTTTCTGTATTCCAGCACGAGAAGCAGGCCCAGAAAGTACCAATTTTCAGGAAAGAGCTGAAAAAGAGCCCAAGTCCGGTGACATCTCTAAGCACATGGCACTGTTTTCTCAGTTCACGTTTGGGTCTCTTGAGCCCAGAGGCTCCTGCTTCTCCTGTCCCTTCAGTTTCTTCACCTCCATGAACCTCTAAGAATCAAACATTTCTCCTGGGTTGACTTCCAAGTCCATTTTTGGCTGTGCTTTGTTTTTACTGGGTAGAATTCCAAGCACAGACTCATTTCTTTTCAGATTAGGAAACCACAGAGGCAAGATGCATATATGAGAGGATGCTGGACAAAGTCTGGCCCCTACACTAGAGAAAGATCCTCCTGGCACTATCTCAGGCCCCGTATTAGCCACAATATAAAGAGGTTCTCAATCCCACCTCTTGCAAAAGCACTTTTCAAACATCTGCTTGGAAGAATCTCTTGTTCTCGAAACCAGGCCAAGGAAAGAGCAAAATACTAGAATTCTTATCTATAACCGCTACTGTCGCATAAATTACTTGACATGAAAATCATTCCCACTTCTTAATGAAATCATTCTCTTTCTTCTGAACTGAAATCACATATATTCTCAACAGGTGGTTTTTATAGGATCATTTGATTAAGAATGGTCTTAAAGAATACCATCTGAAGTGTAGTTTTAGTCTAAAACCTTCATATTCATTGGTTTGAAAAACGACTTGGAGGAAGTAAGCACAGGATAAGCATGTATGAAATTTTTATCTTATCAAACATCATTAACAATTTATCTTATCTATCTTTTATTTTTAATCTTTTTATCTGATAATTTATCCTATTGACCAGTAACAATTCTTTCTCATCTTTTCCAGTCTTCCAAGGCTAATATCCATGTCTCCTGATTTGCTAGCTCAGGTCTCTTTCTTCACAAAAAGCAAAGGAGAAAGAAGCTTAAACGGAAATGATGCACATAACCGTACCTTCCTTGCAAGCAGGTTGGCTACTTGAGACACACCCATGTGGCCAAGGAGAAGCCACACCAGCCGCTGCTTGCCCCACTCCATCCAGAAGCTCCACTCAAAGTCAGTTGGGTCCTAAATCGGCCAAAACAGCAGTTTATCAGAGGGATCTTGGTACGTGTTTGAGGCAGAACACAAACCCCAGTTAATAAAACAATTGCAAGAAGGCCAGTGTGAGTCCAAATGCTATACAACGGCATTTACACAACATTTCCAGCATCTACCCCACCACACACCGCACCTACTTATACCCTCCCCTCCAGCTTAGCTGGTTACATTGCCATTCCCCCACTGAGTGTCTTTGTTAAAGCTGATCCGCCAACCTCTGGACCCTCTATGGGACAGAAACTATTATTGAACCCACGTTATAAAATATGAAACAGAGACTTAAAGAATTCAGTTCATTTACCCAGTGTCACATAGATAGTACAAATAACAACTTAGGTTATCTCAGTTTCATCACCTAGATGCTTTCACCAGCAAGAGAAATGTACGCTGGACACTAATAAAATTGTGTAAGGTCAGTCATGTTAAATCTTGCTGTCACTTACAGGCAGGAGGATAATTTGATAGAGAAATTAACTAATTCCCTATAAGATTACAAGGAAAGAATGAAAGATATGCTTCCCTTCACCTTGGGAAGCTATGTCCATCAGTGCCCTTTGTCTGCGTCTGTACCAGGCAAGGTGTCTATATGGCTCCCTGACAGGGGCAGGTGAAAAACCTCTGGCAAGATTGGACCCGTGGACACCTGGGGGTTCACACCTAAAAGCCTCGGCCTCAGGAGCTCCAGGGAGATCATGGCAGCCAAGCAGAGCATGGAGGGAATAAGCACAGTGATTGGCCACTCTCAAACGGATAATGTGGGCTTGGCCCATGAGCATCTCGGCACCACCAGGATGGAGGGCAGATGTGAGGCCCTCAGAATTTTCTAGCCAAATCGTGTGGGTGATGAAGGAATCCCCCACTGACTACTGATCTATCGATACTGAACATCTCATCAGTCTGTACAAGTGAAACTTTGAGTCAAATTTTTAATTGGGCTTAAAGGAAAATAGGATTTTTTTCTATTTTTTTTTTTTTTGCACCTGAGGATTGAGGGGCAATTTCATACAAGTTACACATATTACAAAACTCTTTTTTTCAGAAGGTAAAATATAGATTGAAGTGATCTTGATTCATATCAGACTATGGATGTAGAGGTAGCAAATGTAGCAGCTAAGGCTGCCGATTCATCTTGGGTTTGGATCCCAGATCTAGCTACATACTGGCCGTGATGACCTTGAGTGAGATACTTCACCCTTCCGCTGTCTGTTCATATGATAACAGGACTGATTTTCTAGGAATTTATGAGGTTTAACTGAAAATACATGCATATCAAAATTTTAAAACAGTACCCGGCACACAGTACTCACTAAAAATTGTTACTTGCCACTAACTGCTAGTCCCATGTGCTTTCCATCCTGTGTTAACCAGCTAAGATTGTATCACGCTTTACATGTTGCCTCTTGTTAAAAAAAAAAAAAAAAAAAGTTTTTCTATTTTCCAAATGAAGAAAGACAGCAGTACTGTGCTTCTCAAACAACACGTTTTCCCCACAATCAAGATCCTGATACACACACAACCTGCTCATAGAGCCCCCATCCCATGAAAATCATAGATCTAGTCCAATTCCTTCCATTCAAAGACTGACTACATCAGAGCCCAGGACGTGCCCACGCTGCACACCCAGGCAGCAGCAGAGCAGAGAGCTCAAATCGTTAACCGGGCTTTATCCCTGTTCCAGAGCTCACTTCCCCATCTTAAAAATGTCAAATTAGTGGAGAGTCAATCAACTGGTTAAAGGCGCAAAGGTCATGTGATGAGGCCATGCTAGTAAAATGCCACTTTGTAACATGGATGCATACACTAAAAACCAAGATGGAATTTTTTTTACCCCCCTCAAAATAAAAATCCCAACATTTTAGCTTTTTAAATATCAATAATGTTTTTGAACATTCAGAATTACATTAGAATTCATCACCTCAGACTTATACCTATGTTTCAAAACTTGTCCAAGTTTAATTTCTAGGGGGTAAAAATGAAATAATATCTCATAACATTCAAGAAACCAAAAAACCTTTATGCTTCATCCTAAGGCCCAAAACTACTGAAAACCCTGTGCTGGTAAAATCCCATCAACAGGGCTTCCCTGGTGGTGCAGTGGTTAGGAATCCACCTGCCAGTGCAGGGGACACACGTTCGAGCCCTGGTCCGGGAAGATCCCACATGCCGCGGAGCAACTAAGCCCGTGCGCCACAACTACTGAGCCTGCACTCTAGACCCCGTGATCGACAACTACTGAGCCTGCGTGCCACAACTACTGAAGCCCACACGCCTAGAGCCTGTGCTCTGCAACAAGAGAAGCCACCGCAATGAGAAGCCCGTGCACCTCAACGAAGCGGAGTCCCCGCTCGCCACAACTAGAGAAAGCCCGCGCGCAGCAATGAAGACCCAACGCAGCCAAATATAAATAAATTAAATAAATAAAATTTTTTTAAAAATCCCATCAAAACTACACAGTCTCTCATCACTAATTATTTCAGAAAAGAGCCATTTAAAGGAAATAAAAACATTTTTCTTATGTCTATTCTTCTCCATTTAAAATATTTACCTAAAGGAAATAACCAGACAGAAAAGCTGAATTAATGAATAGAAGATGGCCAATAAGTAGCAGTTACTGATTTGGGGAAGAAAAATGTTGACTTGCCTGATTCCATAAGCAAAAGCCTTATAGACCCTGAGCTCACTCATTTCAAGGTAAATCTTAAAGTCTCAAATCAAGAACAACTTTTTCATGTTCTGTTCCCTCCCCATTTTCTTTCTCGATCCTGTAATTCTTAGTCAATTAGAAGCCTCTTCTTTGGTTCTGTAAGGAAGTCAAATATAAACCGGGGATAAATTCTAGCTGGACAGAACCAGGGAGGCTCCCCCGTGGAGAAAGGGGAGCCTGAACTCCAAGATTCACAACCAATCTTCTACATCAGCGCTTCTCAAACCTCAGTGGACACACAAATCACCTACAGACTTTGCTAAAATGCAGATTCTGATCCAAGAAGTCTGGGATAGGGCCTGGGATTCTGTCTTTCATCCAAGCTCTCAGGGGATGCCATGCTGCTGGCCTGGGGACCACATTTCAAGTAGTAGAGATTGACATCATCAATCATGATTCCCTACATTGTTCATAAGCCCAGAGAACCCTTAACAGCTCACACCACCCCACACCATTCCCAGGCAGGGACACGCTAAAGCTGACCACCTAATATTCACAAACAGAGCAACCATCATCCTGTAATAAACTGAGTGAGTTAAGCATGGTTATTCATTCTGAGGTTTTCAGTGTGCAATGAGGCAAGAACAGAGAACTCTAAGGACATGATGATTCTTGGTCTCTTAAATAGTGACTCTAACTTCCTGGTGAACCGTTATTTCTCCTACTCTTAACAAGGAAAAGGATCTGGGCCTCTTTTCCCATAGAGAGCAGAGTTCTACACTAGGTACGGGGGGAAGAAATGTAGAATTCCTCACCCTGGAGGAGGTCACGGCACCAACACTAACACCCCGGACTCTGAAAACCACTGCAAAGAAAGACAGGTAACAGTGGTGTCATTCATCTACATATACTAGAGATACAACTGAGACCTTTCCTTTTTTTTAATCCATGTTACAGATGAGTTAACTGGAGGTCAGAGCAGGCAAAACTAGAGGCGGCAGAGCTGGGTTTCAAACCCAGTCCTGTCTGATACCAAAGAGGAAGCCCTTTTCCAAGCTGTTTCTACTTGTGCTGACGCTCTACCTGGATTCCCCCACCACTCCCAGACACATACACACATCCCACTATCCGACCAAATTGTTCCCAACCCTAGGGATGCCTCGTTAATGCCCCATATCCACAGACACGTCAGCTCCAGTGTGAAGCCTTCTCCACCCTTCCAGGTGGCCCTCACTGCAACCCTTTCTCTGTCAATTCACAACTCAATTCTAGCACTTTTATGATAGCACATTTTACTACAGCATATTTAGTATAGCACTTTTCACTCTAGCTATTTCATGTATTTTCTCTCTAGAGGGAAAAAATAGTAAGCTCCTGAGAGCAAAAACCTTAACTTAACCACAAATTTCTATCATGATTACCCAACAATCAGTAGGCCTTTAAAATGGTGGGGAAGTGAAATCAGGTGACCTAAGTTCTCATCACATTTCTCCCCCTGTGTAAACTTGGACAAGTCACTTCACTATCTGGCCCTGAGCCTTCCCGTATGTAAGAAGAAGGGCAGATTGCTTTCAAAGGGTGGGAAAAAAAGTTATTTCTTTCCTAAAGGAAAAAATACTAAAGGAAAGAAATACTAAGAGAACAGCTAGTCACCCGCCTGCAGAGAGCGTCCTGACTGAGTGCCCATCATTCGGGGGGTAGTGGGGGAGAGATTCCCCCCTCACACTCCCATGTCACCAACCCAGGCCTCCAAGTTCCACATCCACACTGTCAGCCTGTTCTGTTCCAGCAAGTTCCCCAGTCATCCAGCCTCTTCCCCAGATTGGGAAGAAACTACAGCATACAGACTGACTATGTGCTATGATTCTGCCTATAGCAAGATAAGAAAAAGAAAACTATCTTCAGAAAGGTTAAATATCACATCCAAGGTCCCACAGCTAATATATGACAGAGCTCGACTTTAAAGCCCCAGGTCCTCAGGCTGCAGAGTCTGTGCCTCACGTAGTAAAATACATGTAACATACAATTTAGCATCTTAACCATTTTTAAGTGTGCAGCTTAGTGGCATTAAGTACATTCACGCTGTTATACAACCATCACCACCATCCACCTCCAGAGCTCTTTGTTTTGTAAAACTGGAATTCTGTACCCATTAGACAGTAACTCCCCGTTCATACCTCACCCCCGCCCCTGACAACCACCATTCTACTTCTGTCTCTATGGATTTGACTACTCTGGGTACCTCATGTAAGTGGAATCATACGGCATTTGTCCTTTTGTGTCTGGCTTGTTCCACCTGACACAATGTCCTCAAGGTTCACCC